TGGCATAGAAAAATACATCTAAGAACACATCCATAGGTGGTAGAAGACTCCATAAAAACCTTCATGGAAGAAGGTTGGCATAGAAAAATACATCTAAGAACACATCCATAGGTGGTAGAAGACTCCATAAAAACCTTCATGGAAGAAGGTTGGCATAGAAAAATACATCTAAGAACACATCCATAGGTGGTAGAAGACTCCATAAAAACCTTCATGGAAGAAGGTTGGCATAGAAAAATACATCTAAGAACACATCCATAGGTGGTAGAAGACTCCATAAAAACCTTCATTTCCACCAACTCTTAGCTTCAGTCCTTCAGGAAGATGACTTGCTAAAAATCCCCATCTCAAAACTTCATTCTTCCAAGGGGAAACCATCTATGTTGATACAGCAGAGGATTGGATTAGAAAGGCCTCCAAGGTGCCTTCCAACTTTCTCAGGGAGTCTCCTGCTCGAACAGGGGGTTGGACTAGATGGCCTCCAAGGTCCTTTCCAACTCTGCATTTCTCTAAAAGCCCCCTGATCGAGCAGAGGGCTGGACTAGAAGACCTCCAAGGTCCCTTCCAAGTCTGTCTTTCTGATTCTGTGAGGGTCTCCAGCAGGATGGACTAGATGATCTCTTCCAACTCTGCATTCCTCTAATTACGGATTGCGGGTGCCCATGGACACGCACACCAGATGTAGATCTGCACACACCCCATAACACAAGCATAACTAACCCCTCAAACTCTCTGCACCCGAAATATAGGAAGTCCTTGATTTACGACATTTCGTTTAGCGGCCAAAGTTACAACAGCACTGCAAAAAGCGACCTAGGACCATTAGTCTCACTTAACGACCGTTGCAGCATCCCCATGAGTCATGTCCTCAAAATGTTGGCGATCGGCTGGTATTTTAAGACGCCCACAGTGACCTGTGGCCACGTGATCCCCTTTTGCGACTTCCTGACAAGCCCGCGGGGAAGCCGGATTCACTTAACAACTGCGTGAGGGGCTTCACAAGTGCCGCGATTCACTTAAGAACCACGGCGGGGAAATCCGTAAAATGGCTTAACAAACGTTTCGCTTAGTGACATATAAATCTGGGGCTCCGTTGTGGTCGTAACTCGAAGACTGTCTGTACTGAGGTGTTATCTTCCTTCTCACTTAACCACTGCTTCGCTCAACAACACAAATTGTGGGCTCAACCGCCGTCGTAAGTCGAGGACTTGCTTTAAGCATAGAAAAAGCAGGGTTTTTCGATGCTTATCCTGCCAGCAGCAGCTTTCTCTGAAAGCCGGTTTAGGGTCCATGAGGTAAAAAATCTCTCGTCGCCTTACAAGAGAGAGCAGCATTTGCTAATTTTCGGCATAAAATCGGTCCTTAAGAAGAAAATCCTTCCAGAAACGGAAGGAAGAGCATAAGCCGTCGCTATTTTTAAATAAGCTGTCCATAAATGGGTCAGCTAGGAACCGGCTTTCACTACAGAGGATTGAGTGGGGAGGTGGGGGGGGACGCAGTGTGGCGGGAGATCACGGAAAGCCTCGGAAAAATATTGAATTTTTATCCCTTTTTTTGCTTCCCAGGGAGGGCTATTTTCTGTTTTTTTTCCTTTGAAGACGTTTCACTTCTCATCCAAGAAGCTTCTTCCGCTCTGACTGATCCGTTCCCCACCATTCAGTCAGAACTGAGAAAGCTTCTTGGATGAAAAGCCGAAAGGTCTTCAAAGGAAAAAACAGGAAGCTCAGTTGCCTCTTGAAAAAATAGCACATCACAAACAGCCGTGACCTGGATGGACTGAGTGGACTTCAAATCCCAGAATTCCCAAAATGGAGTGGACTTCAACTCCCAGAATTCCCTAGCAGACACTGAGTGGACTTAAAATCCCAGAATTCCCAAAATGGAGTGGACTTCAAATCCCAGAATTCCCTAGCAGACACTGAGTGGACTTCAACTCCCAGGATGCACCATACCGTATGCTGGGAGTTGAAGTCCACGCCTCTTAAAGGGACCCACGTTGAGAAACTCCAGTCCAGAATCCTTGCTTTTCTGACTTCTTCATCAAAGCAGGCGATCCTGAGGAATTCCCAGTCTACAATTGTTAAGCGAATTCTGGGAATCAAAGTCCACACAAGCCTTGTCAAAGCTCTCCTGGACTAAACCTCACAACATTGTCACACACAACGTCCAGAATCTGCAACACTGACCCCCCCCCCCCCCATAAAGAGCCAACAATCTAGAAGGACGTCCAGTGTGAGTTCCCCACCAAAGACCCATCAAAAATAATAAATAATTGAGGCCGGCAGACGAGGGACCGGAGGAGGAACAGAAACTTCGTGCTTCCCGGGGAGTCCACCTTCACACATACAACACGTCACACATGTGTCAGCAGCGACATGCAAATGAGGAAGCAGCTCTAGAGCATATGGAGCACGTCAACCCAGCAGTGGCTTACCTTGAGAGGCCCCTTCCAGCCCATGATCTCCGTTCTCAACCACGGAGGCTGGTCCTGTTGCGGCGGGGCCTGGAAGAAAAAATGTCCACATCGGTTGGAGGGCACTTAGCACCTGGGGGGACCCCGATTTTCTGCCCCAAAGACCTTCCTTTGACCAGCTGAAGGCCGGACCTTCTGCTCAGATAAACCCAAGGCCCATGTTTCCCCTGCAGATGTTGCCATCAACCATCTAACTCTACATCTCCAAGTCTTTCTAAACCTCCTTCTGATGGAGATTTAGAGCCCATCTTTACATCTGGTCCTCGGCTTACGACCATAATGGAGCCATTGATAAGTGAGACAGTTGTTAAGTGAGCTCTACGTGGTTAAGCAAATCGGAGCAGTGGTCGAGTTAACGACAGCATTGTTAAGTGGACCTGGCTTCCCAGGGGACGCTGCCACCGACATAAATATGAATCCGTTGCCCAGTGTCCGGATTTTGACCATGGGACCGTGGGGACGCTGCCACAAGTTGTGTGAAAAAAAGGGTCATCGGTGGCTTTTGGGGTTGCAAAATGTGAACGGTCACTAAACGAATCGTTGTTAAGGGATACGATGATGGTAATACTTCCCATAAGTCAACTGCAGAGAAAGATCTGGAGGAGGAGGAGGAGGAGGCTCCAAATTCAAGAGTTTTTGTGATGGCCTCTCTAGGATGTAAAGTACTTAAAGCATCTGATTTTTCTTCTTCGTTGCTATCTGGGTTAGTTCTGTTTGCCATCCTGGTTTAATGTTGGTTTTTGCTTAAACATTTTATTTTTTATTTTTTGCATTTTGTGCCTTGCCTAGAACTGCTGGGAGTTGGCAGGCGAGTGTGTGTGTGTGTGTGTGTGTGTGTGTGTGTATACACATATATGTGTGTGTTATATTTGTGCTGATAAATAAATAAAGGGAGACTTTATCAGCACAAATATAACACAAATATAACAAAGGCAACAGTAAAAATATTGGGTTTCTGTCGTGATGGACTCTTGTGACGAGCCGATTGACAGNTCACAAGAGACCATCCAGACAGAAACCCAATATTTTTACTGTTGCCTTTGTTACATTTGTGTTGTATTTACATTTTATTTATTTATCAGCACAAATATAACATATGTATGTATGTATGTATGTATGTATGTATGTATGTATGTATGTATATGTATATATACATACATACACACACACACACACACACACACACACACACACACATATATATATATCATATAATTTTAAAAAGAACGGCCTCAATTGATGGAGAGGCCGAGAATTCCAAATTTAGGACTCGGAAAGAGATGGTTGTTTGTGCTATTTCCGGGTGGAGAGCGGACAGCCAGACAAATTGCAAACGACAAGCTTAAAAACCTCGGGGATCAAAGTTCCCGTCAGATCGTCTTGTCAGATTGCCGTTTCGGGAAGCGACTCCGACAGGTTGGATTGTCGGGCTCCCCTTCCTCGCTCGAGCCCATCCGATCTGTCGCAACCCGGCTTGATTCGTTTGTGACAAACCACAAAGAAGAATTTTTGCAACAACAACAAAAAAAAAAAAAATGGGAGCAGAGACATCCCGGAACGAGGAAGGGCTTTCAAGCCACATTAAAATTTCACGAAGGCTCCGGCTTTGACGCAGAGAGGAGGACATCTAAGTCCAAGGTGACCGGGGAAGGGTTGGCTGAAAGCAGGAGGAGGATTGCTTCCCCTGGGAAGCTGTGTTTGGACAGCCTGCTTCTCCAAAATCTACCTGAGGGAAATCTAAGGTTGCTTCATGCTTTAAAAAGAGGGGGGGGGGACCCTAAAATCCATCTCCTGAACGTGAGAAAACCAGAGAGGATATGAGGCAGGACTGGACAAGGGCTCTTCCAACGACTGGGTCCCCGCGGGTTTGGGGATGGGGGGGGGGTGACCGGGGGGGAGACGAGGCAAGGGAGAAAAGAGAGGTGGTCTTGGAAGAGAGAGAACTGAAAGGGGGTGGAGGAAATTTAAAAGGGGGGTCAGACAAAGGGGGGAACCAGAAAAGCAAAGGTACAGCTCGGCTACCCGGCAGCTGGAATTGTTGGTCAGGCGAAAGAAATTCTGGACAAGCACTGCGGAGGGAGGGAGGAAAAGGAACAGGGAGGAAAGGAAGGAAGAAAGGAGGAAGGGAGGAGCGAGGGAGGAAGGAGTAGAGAAGGAGAAAGGAAGGAAATGGAAAGGGAGGGAGGGAGGAAGGAAGGAGATAGAGGAGGGAGGGAGGAAGGAAGGAGATAGAAAGGGAGGGAAGGAGGGAGAGAAGGAGGAGAGCGCTAGAGAAGGGAAGGAAGGTAAGAAGGAGATAAGAGGGGAGGAGGAGGGGGAGATTGGGAAGGAGGAGGAGGAGGAGGAGGGGAGTAGAAATGAGAGGAGAAAGGAGAGAAGAGGCAGAGGAGGCAGAGGAGAGGCAGAGGAGAAGAAGAGGAGAAGAGGAGGAGGAGCATGGAGGAGAAATGAGGAGGAGGAGGAGANAGATAGATAGATAGATGATAGATAGATAGATAGATAGATAGATAGATAGATAGATAGATAGATAGATAGATAGATAGATAGATAGATAGATCTTTATGTATAATGATTGTAGGGTCCCTTGGTGTTCTCTGAGCTGGGTGCTTTTCTTACAGACGTCTCATGACCCAACTAGGGAACATCATCAGGGCCAAAAAGGAGGGAGGAATAGGAGGAGGAAGAGAGGGTGGGACGGCAGAAGGGAGGAGGAGGAAGAGAAGAGGGATGAAGGGAGGAGGTGGAGAAAGAGGAAAAAAAGATGAGGAGGAGGAGAGAGAAGGAGAGAGGGAAGAGTAGGAGGAGAAGAAAGAGGAGGAAGATAACAGGAGGAGGAGAGGGATGGAGGGGAAGAAAGAGGGGGAGGACAATGAGGAAGACTGTGGGGTCCTTGGTGCTCCTGATCTGGGTGCTTCTTACAGACATTTCATGACCCAACTAGGGAACATCATCAGGGCCAAAAGGAGGGAGGAAGAGGAGGAAGAGAGGGAAGAGGAGGAGGAGAGGGAGAGGGACGGCAGGAGGGAGGAGGAGGAAGAATAGAGGGAGAGAGTAATGGAGGAGGTGGAGAGAGAAAGAGAAAGAGAAGAGAGAAGGAGAGAGGGAGGAGGTGGAGAAAGAGGAGGAGGAGAGGGAGGGAGGGAGGGAGAAGAGAAGAGGGAGGGGAAGGAAGATGGGGAGAATGATAAGAAAGTCTGTGGGGTCCTTGGTGCTCTCCAAACTGGGTCCTTTTCTTACAGACGTCTCATGACCCAAATAGAGAACAGCATCAGTGCTTCCCCCCCCGTTGGAACCAATTTGCTGGAAACCAGTAACTCCGCTCCCAACTGTATTCGTTCCTCTCCCACCACAACGTCATCACTGTTCCAACACCAGGATTTAAGTCATCTGCGTCTCCTGCCAGATGCCAGGCTCCTAATCTCCGAATGCACCCCGGGTGGCGGGAAGGCAGCCATGCAAAGTTCAGCCTACACAACGCCCACCCCCCCAAAAAAATCCCCCCAGATTATGTAACGGAGAAACTAAGAGGATTTGGACAAGCCTATCAAACCGAGATGCTGCAAGTCGCGCCGCGAAGGCAGCTGGCCGAACTCGGTTCAATCCTCTTTGCGTGTGTGTGTAGTGTGTGTGTATGTATGTGTGAAAATAAAAATCCAACATGTGAGGGGCGCATGGGAAATATATCCATCAATCCCATCCAAGACTCTCGAACACTGTCGGACTTTGGCAAAGGAGATTGTCCGTATGACAACAGACAATGTGTTTGCCCTGTTTTGTCGGAACAGGGTTACGCACAACGGCACGTGTGTAAGGAGACAAAACTTTTTGAGTAGCTTCCCTGCAGCTAGTTGGGTCCCCGAAACGTCCGCAAGAAAACCACCAACAAATTAATAAAAAACAGACTTGATCTCGGTGGTTTTCTCGCAGACGTTTCGGGACCCAACTAGGTAACGTCGTCAGTGACGGGAGGGAGCGGGGTTTGTGGAGTAGAGAAGGGGGAGGACTGCGGGCTCCTTGGTGCTCCTTGGTATGACGGTCACAGTGGCGCGGGGTCACCTGTCAAGATGGAAGATAGATTTACTTAACAACCCTGCCCCTAACTGGGCCACTGCGGCAATTCACTTAACGACGGCAGGCAAGAAAGACCATGGGAGGGCTCCCAACTCACTTATCAACCGTCTCGCTTAGCCACGGAAATTTCAGGTTCCAATATGTTCATAATTTGAGGATGATCTGTACCGTCACTACGTCAATGAAAACGAAAGGTTATAAATTGGTTTGAGGGCCCATTTTTAAATGTTCTCCTTTTTGCGTCGAGATATTATAAAAAGGAAAAGAAAAATCGAATAAAAAGCCACATTCGCTGGGAAAAAAGGCGAGCCAAAAAAATTTATCCTCTCCAATATTCCTTTAGCGTCGGAGTAGCAGCACTAAATATATCCGCTCAACCGTTTCTTGGCTAAATTACGATGCGATTAAAGCTTATTAAAAAGGCTTTTAAAGCCAGGAGGAAGCGGAGCCCCGCCGGATAATAGCACCCGTGGAAATAAATTTAATTTATTTATTTTTCTCTTGATTGGAGAGAGCCTGGAGGAGGAGAAGGAAGGGATGCATAAAAAAATGAACAGCAAAGATTCCAGGATTTAAAAAGGATTTCAAAGCAACGAGTTTGCTTTGCCAATGGCGTGCAAAGGGACGAGCAAATCAGATAGACTGCGATGGTCCGGAGGAGAACGATTCAGACTGTCTCTTCACCGGCTGTTTGAACTTACAACATTGCTGGGGGGAAAAGTGACTTGCGGCCAATTCTCGGACTTACGACTATTGCCGTATCTTTGTGATCAAAATTTCGAAGCAATTGGCGTGGATTTGTGACAATGGCTCACGCCATACCTTCTCACAATCTTCCAACGGAAAAAAAAAATCAACAGGTGGCAAACTAGATTCGCTTAATGACCACCCGATTCACTTAGCGACGCTGACATAAAACGGGCCCAAAGCTCCCAGAACGAGTGCCTCGCTTAACCACGGGAATGTTGGGGCTCAAATTGTGGTCGTATGACACAATCCAACTTCTCGTCCGATTGACCCCCCCCCCCTCGTTCCCTCCGTCCCGCCTGACACGCTACCCGGCGCTCGCCCATGTCCAGACACTCACGCTCCCGGGGAACGTTCTCAACCCGCGGTTTGGCTTTCGCCTCCTGGTTCCCTGCCTGCGGGTCGTCGTCGTCGTCGAGCAGAGGGACGTAATCCGTCTTGCCCACTTTCTCCCCGATCACGTCGTCAAACTTCTCGGCTTCCAGGGTGGCCATGAAGTCGCGCTTCACCTCTTCCTCGATTTGGGGAGGGGGCTCGGTCAGTGCGTCGGCCAGGCTGAGGTTCTGTTCCATGTCCGCCATACCGCCACGCCCTTTCCGGTGAAACCCTGGGGAAAAAAGGGGGGAAAGAGGAAGAAAGGAAGGACGAGAAGATGATCAACAATCCAATCAGCATCTCTCAAATTGGTGCTTAAAATACACAAGACGATTAAGAATCAAAGATGCAAACACCAGGCAGAGAGAGAGAGAGAGAGAGAGAAAGTAGGGAACCAGGTGCGAAAAACTAGGTGAAGTTTCAATTAAACTTTCAATTATTGCTGAAAGTCTGTGCGCGGGAATATTTCAACTATAAACTTATTGCTAAAACCTATTGCAAAATTTATTGCTAATTCGTTGCTAAAATTCCATGCACAGGAATCTTCCGAGTAAAGCGATTTATTGCCGAAAGCCTACGCACAGGAATCTTTCAACTAACCAGAGTTAGATAAGGCTCCCCAGGGCACAAGGAGAGTTGGACTTCCTTCGCTTGTGACTATGTAAGGATTCTACGCTGGTGCCTGTTTTAACTCTCACCGTGGGGTCTGTCATTCCTTCCCCTACAGGGATCTCCAAATTTGGTTTCAGGGAATTTTAAAATTGTCCCCGACTTGCAACCATAGTTACAAAGGCACGGGAAAAAGTGACACAACCTGTCCTCTAACACAGTGGTCCCCAACCTTTTTATCGCTGCGGACCAGTCAGCCTTTGATAATTTTACCGTGGCCCGCTGAGCGCGCGCAGGGGTGGGGGGGCGTTGTTTGCGATGACACATTGATTGCGTACCTGTGTGGGGCTCTCTTCCCTGGAGCCTTTGCGCACGGCCCAGGAGCTTTTGNGGCATACAAATAATAAAATTCTATTCCATTCTATTCTATTGTCGCTCTGCTTTGAACCCAGTTGGCTTGAATTTGGGACGATCAATAAACTAGGAAATGACCCAAGGAGGCTGTGAGTTCGATCCTAGGTAGAGGAAGGTATTTCTCTCTCTCGGCAAACTGAGAATATGTTTGTTGAACAAAACCCCGTACTGGCGACAGGAAGGGCATCTAGCCATTGAAACACTGCTAGCTCCATTCGGTTGCCCGGACTCCAACCCTGCAAGGGATTATGGGGTCGTTAGGAGATGATGATCATGATGAGTTGGGTGATGACCTCAGTAGAATCGGATGTCCCTATGTTGCTGGAAAGGAGCCAAAGAATAAAGAACTGGGACCTCTTGAGAGATACATGGAAGTCCATCTCATCTTTCTTCAATCAGTTGAAGCGCACTAGGACAATCTATTTCTCAACTAAACCAGGTTCTCCAGATGTTCTCCTGCAACTGGACCGCTTCTGCTTCTCGGAAACACCTCCTTCTTTGAGTCTCATCCTTTGTCTCTCTACCATTCTTGGGACCTTGGCGATCATCTGCCCCACCATGTCCCATGTCCACCAAATGTATCTCCCCTCTCTTGATGCCCATGGCCACCACACACGAAAACCTCCCAGGCTTAGCCAGGCCTCCATTCCCTCACTCCAACTCACAAAATGGTGCCTCGTCAGAAATCGTTCGTGGAGAAATATAAGCTCAAGACCAGGATGAAGTCCTCAAAACGTTGGAGGAGACAACAAGGATGATCCCTACTCAAAACAGGACCTGGATGTCAGACCAGTAGATCCAAGAACAGGGGGGCATGAAGCCCAAATCCTAAACCGTAGATGCCACAACTCACAATGCTGGCTAGAAGAACCACAATATGCTTCTCTTTGCCCAGTTGCTAAGGCTTGAAGTCCACAGTGTTTGGTGACTACCAGCTGGAAGAAGGTTGGCATAGAAAAATACATCTAAGAACACATCCATAGGTGGTAGAAGACTCCATAAAAACCTTCATGGAAGAAGGTTGGCATAGANCCACAAGACTTCCAATTTGCAAACTTCAACTCCCAGAATCCCTCAGCCATCTTGGACAGCTAAAGAATTCTGGGTGTTGAAGTCCACAAGACTTCAATTTGCAGACTTTAATTCCCAGAATTCAACAGGCCAATTTCACCAAGGGAGGCATTCTGGGAACTGAAGTCCACAAGCCTTAAAGCTTAAATCGTTGCATGCTAAGCAACGGAAATCCATGTCTCAAATTGCGGTCGTTAAATCGAGGACTCCCCCTACCGAATTCCCAGCAGGCAGAATGGAAAGATGGAGGGGGTGTGCAAGACTCCTACAGCTGCCTGGGCCAAGATGGCCGGTCTCCAGAGCTTCTGGTCGGCCCAGATGTGTGGCTGCCTTTCCAACGCACATCTGGAAACTATCAGGTTGGAGGATAAAGGCAGCAATTCTCCCTCTTTTTTTTTGTTTCCACTGCTTCCTCCCAGCCGAGAAAGCAGCACGCCTTAAAAGGAACATTCTCGCGTATTATATGGCAACGTCCCAATTATATCAGCTCCCTTTGGCCTCCAAAAATGAGCTAATTTCCCCCAAATTTCCTTGGACTTTTTTTTCCCACGAAAAAAAAAAAAAAGAGACCACAAAGCCACAATTTAGCAACCTTGACAGGAATCCAAATACAGATCCACATCCAGAAATTATAAACTCAAAACCAAATTCTCCTTTCGTGTAATTTCTTCTGTTTGCTCTGTGCAAGCTTTAAAGCCGGGATGAAACAGAGATTACGCGCTCCTCCATTGCATGCAGAAGGCAAGAGGTTTAAACCCAAAAGCTGCAGCTTTTAAGCTGCCAGTTAAGGATCACCAATATATGAACATTTAAGGTGAAATTCTTTGCTTTCAAAAACGTTTAATTTTATTTTTTAAATAAAAAAAAAGGAGAGGGTTTTAACACAAATCGGGCTGAATACATTTGGAATGAGGTTGGACTAGAAGACCTCTAGGCCCCTCCCAACTCTGCATTTCTATAAGGGCCTCCTCCTCGAGCAAGGGGTTGGTCTAGAAGACCTCCGAGGTCCCTTTCCAACTCTTTCATTCTGTATTCCTGGGGATGAAAAGAAAAACTGAAGAGAACGAATGGGGGAGAAATTTTATAGTTTGGGGTGGAATTGTGGGGTCCCTGAGAATTGTCTGGGTGGACGTTTATGACCCAACAAGGGAATGTTATCAGTGCTAGTAAAAATAGGATATGTAGAGAGGGAGGAGGAAGAGAAAGGGGAAGGGGAGGAGGAATGGGGGACGAAGAGGAGGAGGAGGAAGGACTTTGGGGTCCTTGATGCTGTCTGAGATTGGGGGGTTTTCTTGCGGACTTTTCATGAGCCGAGGTGGCGCAGTGGTTAGGGTGCAGCACTGNCGCAATTGTGGTAAACTCAAGTCATCAGCCAAGCGTGTGAATTTGGATACTGTCGTAAGGGCGAATAAATGGTTGTTAAGTCACTTATTTTCCAATCCTGTTGCAACTTCGGTCGCTAAATAAACTGTTGTAAGTTGAGGACTCTCTGTACACTACGTATGGAATTGTTGTTTAAAGGGTGTCCTCAACTTACGACAACAATGGGACTCAAAATTTATGTTGCTGAGCCTTTAAAGGCCCAAAAATCATCAAGCCAGGTTTCGTGCCTATGGTGGGACTAGAACTCCCAAACTCCTGGTGATTGGCCAAAGTCATCCAGCCAGTTTCCATGCATTTGGCGGGACTATAACTCACCATCACCTGCTGATTGGGCCAAACTCACCCACATACCTATCATGCCTAAGGCAGGACTATACCTCACTGTCCCCTGGTGATTAGGCCAAACTCACTCAAGAGGGCTTTCATGTGTAAAGTGGGACTAGAACTCCCCCTCTCCTGGTGACGGGGCCCAAAGTTACCCAGCCGACTTTCATGCGTAAGGCGCGACTAGAACTCACCATCTCCTGGTGATTGGCCCAAGGGTTAGCCAGCTGGCTTTCACTCCTAAACGGGGAACTAGAACTTCCAGTCTCCTGGCAACTGATCCAAATATATTTCCAATGAGTTAAAAGGTCGGCGGGCAGCAAAAATGCAGGGATGATTCCGAATGTTGGAGCGTAAGTTTACCGTCAAAACGACAGGCTGAAGTCCAACAGGTTTGTGAATCTCTCCCAAGACTCAAAGGGCAGGAAAATCATAGTTGTTCACCAACTAGAAGACCCATAATCCCCAGACGTGCTTGGAAGGGATAACAGCAGTGAAAAAGGTGATTTATGGCACTTATGATTGGTACCTGCCCTTAGAACAGGTCCTTGCACTTATGACTGCGCCTGGCATTTATCGCTGGTCTTCACAGGTGCCCGCACCTTACATTTATGACACATCCTCACATTTATGACTGGTCCTTACACTTATGACCGGTACCCTCATTTATGACACATCCTCACATTTATCACAGGTCTTCAAACTTATGACAGGCGCCCGCACTTATGACGGGTCCTCGCACTTATGATGGGTCCTCGCACTTATGACGGTCCTCGCACTTATGACTGATCCTTGCACTTATGACAGGTGCCCACATTTATGACAGGTCCTCACACTTATGACTACTCCTCACACTCGCACCCGGTCCAAACAATTATGACTTGTCCTTGCACTTATGGCTGGTCCTCACACTCACAACAAGGTCCTCACACTTTTGATCAGTCCTTGCACTTATGACAGGTCCTCACTTATGACTGGTCATCGAACTTATGATGGGTCTTCACACGTATGACACGTACCCACACTTATAACAGATCATCGCACTTATGTCTGGTCCTCGCACTTATGACCATCACGGCTGCACGATCAAAATTTGGGTGCTTGCAAACCAGCACGCATTTATTGCCATTTGATTACAGAAGAACCCCAACTTGCTTCATCATCATGGTGATTCACTTAATGCAGGGATTCGCTAGGAACCAGGGCAAAAACAAAAAAATCAGATACGACACTTAGCAACCATCTTGCTAAGCCAGGGGTCTCCATACTTTTAAAAGTCTTTAAAAGACAACTTTTAAGACTTATGGGCTTCTTGGCTTAAATTTCCAGACTTCAACTCCCAGAATCCCTCAGCCATCTTGGACAGCTAAAGAATTCTGGGTGTTGAAGTCCACAAGACTTCAATTTCCAGACTTCAACTCCCAGAATCCC